CCGCTGCAAGCGCTAGTCAATATGGCCGGTGGAAAACAGGACAACATATGATAGTTTTGGGGGTAGTTTCGAGTCGATCAGGCCAGTCGAAGTTTTTGGTGGTTCTTGTTGGCTATTTACAAATGATGATATTGGTGATAATGCATGCAGCGATAGTGATGGTGGTGTATATTTTCTAATCAAAGGGTGGTGGTTGTCTGATGTGCAACAATCTCAAGTTGGTAGTGGTGTTGGTGGTTTTCTAATCTGTGGGTGGGTGGTTTTCTATGGTGGTTTGTTGGTGATTGTTTGTGGGTGATGATGTCGGTGGTGGTGCAACGGCCGGTGGTGGTGACATTGGTGAAGGCAATGGTGATTCTATTGGTTGGAGGTTGTTGTGGTGCTGTTAGGTGCGTGGCTTTTGGTTGTTACCGGTGGGGGCGGCAATATCAATGTGGTGGTGGTAGCGATGGTGGGGTAGAGTAGGTTGGGGCGGGGTGGGAAGAGTGTTTGTAACCAATTATTTGGGCGTTGTGACTAATAAATTGTTAATTTGTGATTAGTGAATAATATGTGACATAGAAAATTGTGTGATTGTGATTTAATTTGTAGTTGTGACTTAAATTTTGGTAAATTGTGATCAATTAATTTGATAATAAGTGACAATGAAATAAGTTGTGACCTATAAAATTTGTAATTTGTGACCTATAAAATTTATGATTTGTGACCTATAATTTTTTGTGTTTGTATACGAAAAATAATTTGTGATCAATTAATTTGATAATATGTGACCAATAATTTGCGACATTGATATTTTGTGTCTATGAAATAAGTTGTGGATTATAAAATTTGTAATTTGTGACTAAAAAATAATATGTGATCAAACAATAATGTGATCGTAAATTGTATAATATTGTGACCCTAGTATATTTAATTAGTAAAATATACTTAATTAATTATTTAATAAATAAAATTTAAATTAACATCTAATTTTTGAAAAAATAAACCTTACCTTTTATATTTGAAATTGGTCGTACTTAATATCTTACTAACGAAATTTTTCTTTATTATAATAATAATAATTATTTTTTCTCTACTTCGTACTTTTCTCTTGAAACTCATTTTGTCAAAATATAAAAATTGGGCCCACATGTTGACTTACAGGCAGTGTTCTAAAATGCGTAATGCGTTGCGATGCGTCGAGGTCGAGAATCAAGAATCACAAGTTTAAGCGTGTCAATGCGAAGAATAGGCGCCATAATGCATTTCATACTTTTAATATTATTTTAATATAATAAATATATTTTTATATTAAAAAAACAATTTTTTATATCATAGAAAAAAAAAAAAATTTTGGCGTCTTAATGCGTGCCTAGGCGCACATAGGCTCGCCTGATGCGCGCATTGAGACGCCTATGCGCGCCTAGGCGGTCAACAAAAACTGTTGACAGCATTTTTACGCGCATTGCCCAATTTGACGCGTTTTCTACGCTCATCGGGCCTATGCTCGCCTAGGCGGCGCATTTGCGCACATTTTAGAACACTGCTTACAGGCTTAGGCTAATCGGTCCAGCTATAGTTGCCACTTCTAACTCTAAATATAGGTAAAACATAATTTTTAATAAGTTCGTAATTGTCCTTCGTATGGCTTAACTTAAAATATTTACATGTTGATATGGTTACCATTATCTCAAGCATAATAAACTCGAGCTTCACCGGTACTGTGGAACGCACCTTTACTCATCGGGGTAAGGATATGGTGCTCGAGCATGCTCGAGGATATGCACCATTAGTTTCGCTTGGTTTGGTGACAACATTCCTCGAGATATGTCCTCGAGGATGTACGACCCCAAAAGATTGTTGTGTCCTCGAGCATTTTCCTTAGCTCAAAGGTTCCCTTATACATATGACCAATTTTACTCTTTAGGAATTCTAAGTCTATCCAAATACCTCAAGTTAAGATTCTTATGCCAAGACGGAGTCTACATTAATGAGTGTTATAGTCATACTGTGACTAGATCTACAGTTGCAATGAAATACACATCTCGAGTAGAACTCCCTAGGATAAAGACACGTAGCAAACCAAGTCTAGCTAGGAATGGGCTACCCACCTCTTTAAATACAAGGCCCCAATTAATTATTCAGGTATGTTTTTAGCACCCAAACCTTTTCATATTCTCTCTCTAACTCAAATATTGGAGAGGCGACGAAGACACACCTCGACGCATATGTTTTAGGTATCGGAAGATCACGTTCGTGCTCATTCTCAATCGTCAAGCTCGGAAATCAACATGTGCAATTTTTTTGTAGCATAACATGTAATTAAGCAAGTCAATCTAGAAAAGTTTTTTTTTTAAAGTAATTAATTTTTTTAATTAAAGTTAAATTAAGTAAATCATCATTTTGATAGTAATCTCCATTTTGTTAAATTAAAAATTAGAAAATCATTTATTTTGATAATTCTCTATTTTACTTTTAGAGCATGTTTGGTAGGGCTTAAAATCCAATTAAAATTGAAAATATAACCGTTATTGAGTCTCACTCGTCTAATAAAAGTCAATAATAACGGCTAATTTTTCAATTTTAATCTGATTTTAATGTCTAAATGAGAAATTCTTGAAAGATAGAAGTTGAAAAAGCCAATTCACCATCAAGGTATAGAATCAGAATAAGAGCATGTTTGGTTAAGCTTAAAATCCAATTAAAATTGAAAATATAACCGTTATTGAGTCTCACTCGTCTAATAAAAGTCAATAATAACGGCTAATTTTTCAATTTTAATCTGATTTTAATGTCTACCGAACACTCCCTTAAAATATGTACTTTTAACCATAATCAGATATGTTTAGTCTCAAATAGTTATTTCTGTAAATGTGCATTGACAGTGAGAAGAGGCGGTTCTAAGGATCGAGAGAGGGGGGAGGGAGGTAAAGAATGCAAGTGACATTTTCGACGAGATAGAGACCTAAATATCAAATTATAGAGGCCAATTTGAATGGTCACCGAAGTTCGGATGATTGGATGAGATGAGCACAACCTGTTTATCAACTAGCCTTGCATGAATCGGCTCATTGAGTAAGAGACCACCCTTGGGCCTTACCTCTATAGCACCGAGCTGAACCGAACCACGAGCCCTCGTACTTTTTTTTTTAGTAGAGAAAAAATACAAAAAATTATAATACGACATAGGGTGAGCTTAGGACTTAGGGCTTAATTCGACTTACTCTTGACTTGTTTGAACGCAAACTTGAACTGCTTGTGGATTGAACTTTCACAAGTAGACCAATCAAGTCGATGAGTTGCCAATTGTCTGGTTGGAGATTTCAAAAGTTATTTAATTTTTGTTTGGATTTCATTCTTATCCTTAAATTTTACTTTTTAAAGTCAATTATTAATTTCAATGTCACTTTTTGTAAGATCTATAAATATTACTCAACCAAGATGAGAAATCGCTACACGTCGAACTGAAATTCTGAAATTGAAAGACCGAGGATGTGTGAAAATTTACCATTTCTTAATCGTTGATGCTTCTCTATGTTAAGTTTGTGAAAGAGAGAGGGATAAAGATTGCGGGTTTAGGATCAACACACTAAAGAAATAAGGTTAAAGGAATGGAATAAAGATATGAAGTTTTGAGATTCTGGTTTCTCTGAGTTCGTGAGAGGATAGGAAAGAGATGATATTAGATTTACAAAAAGTTAAGATTTACATAAGTAACGAAAAAAATTGAAAGAAAAAAATTATTCGAATTATGTAGACGATGGGAAATAACGACACGTGGTAGCAAATTTTTTGGCTCTTGTAGTGATTTACTTATGAAAAAATCCTTGAGTACGGGAATTTTTTACAGAAATTTGAAATGCTTCAATCATGTCCGTGTGTGTGTATTTTTTCTCCTTCAATCTTTCAATAATTTCCCTTCATTTCAAATTTCTGTGAAAAATTTCTGTACTCATAATAGGGTTCTTTACTTATTTATCTTTCATTTCTTCAAAAGTAAAATTTTAACAAAAGGGAACAAATCGGAGCAAAGGCGAAGGGCTTAGATCTGATTTAAGCTTGGTCATTGCTAAAAGAAACTAGTGGTTCGAGTTTAGTTGGCTACTAAATAGCGCGTACTAAATTTGATGCCAACTTTCCTGTTGTGTTTAGTCGTCATATCTAATACAATGGAATAAATGAAGTATAGAAACTGTAATCCTTAATAAACAGAAAGAATGTTGTGTGTGGTCATAATCATTTTGGCAGCTAATAACAACGTACATAAATCTAGTTGGAGCAAGTATTTTGGTACATAAGAAAACAGGAGGTTGAATTATTATTATTATTATTATTGCAATTTTTTCCACTTCATTGTAAAGATTTTTCGGGATGATGTTCCCGAATGGAAAGGTTATAATCCATCAAAAGCATATGTATGTGACTTTGGAAGGACATATAACATTGAATTCAGGAGAAAGTGGTTGCATTTAGAAGAAGTATAAGGTAAGATTTGAACATCCATTATTAGTAAGTACAGTAAGGTTCGAAAAAATAAAGTTACTTTATATATATCGAATTGAAGTAAGGGAAGGAAAAAGAAGTAAATTCTAACCATTAGTAAATCCAACTACAAATAGGTACCTATTCATCCATGTGTTTAGGTAGTATTCAATCATCAAATGATTACTTTAGACGAAGAAAAGAAGCTGTAGTGTAAGTGTATGTTGTAGGAAAAATATAGAAGATCGGAAAATAGATAGATATACTACAAGCTAAAAATGCTGCGAAGATTAACAAGAAAAAAGAGGAAAAATCTTATGGCTTTTATTGTTCTACAGCAATTTGACATGAGTTTCCATTCTAAGGTAGAACTGGAAGCATAAAAATGTGGTTCATTGAATATCTTGGATGAAGCAGCTTCGAGCTTTTCAATCCTTGAATTTAAAGATGACAATTCTGATTTAAGAGTTTGCACCGTCAACAAAGTACTTGTTCGATCTGAAAATGCATTGTTTACAGCTAGCATCACCCCAAGGTATTCATGAAGCTTTTCCTGCACAAATAACATGAGTTAGATCAATAGGACATGCACGAGGACGAGCAGAAAAATAAACTTATTTTCTATGAATCAAATGCATTCAATTAAAGAAGTGTCATTTCATTACAGAAATCAGCAGCATGACAGAAGCATGAATCAAAAAGAACACACACACAACAACAACAATTTTTTAACAACTAAAATTTACTATATGATCTATTGAAAGCCAAATTATACAAGGAAAGAAATATTGAAATGATTTTACCAAATGTTTGACAGTTTTGAGCATTTAATTCCCGATACAATCTGCTTGCTTTGACAGCAGCAGTTGCCACATTTTTCATGTCTGCAGCACATGCTTTTTGAGAGTCATAAATAGCTTCCTCCGATTCAAACTTGGTTAACTTCACAAAAGCCAGTCCCAATTGACCCATTGTCTCCCCCATGTCATGATGATTTTTGACAAGAGATTCAGCCTGAAAGTACCATAGAAATTATAGAAGTACTTAAACGTCAAGTTTCAAAAAATTGTTCCATTAAGAAGTTCAATAAAATGCAGATTCCAGAACTGAGCTAATAACAGAACTGTCTATACATTAAACAAATTGTAAGTCTGCCAGCAGGAGAACCACAATGTTCCAACTTATGTGCTTCAACAAACTCAAACTAAGCTCAGGCCATGTCAACTAACGTATGAATATTATTTTGCTGATCAAATACACGTATCTCTTTAAAATAAACAAAAAAGAAGTAAAACATAAATCAAACCTTGAAATATTAGCTCATTTCTTAGCCCTTGTTTGACACCTATTTTATTTATAAACATAATCGGTCAATCCTATTTTTTATCCACAAGTTTTTGGGAAGTACAAGTACTACATACTTATCCGCCACTCATTTCTATTTATTTATAATTAAACCGCTATTATCTATTCCCAAACAAGAGCTTAATGTGCCATCTTGAAAGTTGACTAACTAATTTTTCTAAACCTGAGGACTAATTAATCCAAAAGCCATATTTCAAACTCATTTCTTTTCAACAAACATATGCGACGACGGATCGACAAATACATGGGTAAAAATTTATATTGTCTGATCCAAAAATACATAATAATAAGACGGATAAGAAGTAACCTGCTGAGGCACATTGCTTATCTGCTGTTCAAGGTCCTGCAACTTCTCTTTCTTCTCCAAGAACTCCTTATCCTCCTCAATGACAGGAGGTTTAGTATCACCCTAATCATTCACCACTGACTGCTTCAACTCCCTGAAAATTCTCAACAAATCCCTCCCGCCCTTTGCGGGCAGCGCCACCTCACTAACCTCCGCTGCTCCTCCAACTATACTCTCTTCGCCAAACAGCTGCTTAGGCAGCCTCACCGCCCCATCCAACATCCTCGATGCCTACTGCAGGGGAATACCCATGAAATTTTGAATACTCATCTAAGATCCAAGCCATTGTCTGTTCAACCGCACAGCAAAGATTGACAATAAATTCAGATACATGTTATTGAGTTCATTAAAATCAGACGGTAAGGTTGAGATATATGTTACACGGACCTGTGGATTTGTTCCCATATTAGGCGCTGGAACATCTGTGTGGACTCCAAACAGTTTTGTGTGAAAACTCGAGTAAGTCTTTCTAGCTCAGAGATGCTCAAATCCCCTGGATTACATCCTATCCCTCCCTTGGCTCCACCATATGGTATGTTAGCTACTACAGTTTTCCGTGTCATGAGTTGCACCAAAGCATTCACTTCATCTAGGTCTACCTACCTTATCTATATAGAATTTTGATTATAAATAAAGGGGACAAAAAGTCTAGAGACTGGATTTATCTACATAATACAATCATCAGGATTAGGAAGGAATATAAAAATTTACATCCTTATTTTCGCAATTTAATTTGGAAACGAAAAAAACAGAATCTACTTGGCAACTGGTTTGCTAAATTCAGAGAGTAGAACATAATGGTTGCATCTCTAAGAGGTTTTTTTTTTGCCATTATCGAAAAGAAAATGTAAAAAAGAATAGTACTTCATGCTACAATAGTTGCAAAATTTGAAAATGCAATCTCATAATATGATCATTCATCAAAAATGACAATAGAAATCACGTGGACTATGCTAGAGGATCAAAATCAATTATCCAAAACTGTCTCCCATCTCTTTTTCCTTTTTACCCTTTTTATGGCGGCTATCTAGAAAGTGAATCCCTTGATCCATACGACGACAACCATATTTCGAGGTGGGTCCAAATGAACAAATTGAAGTGAGCCTTAGTGTATAAGTACAGAAAGTTTAGAAACCTCATAAAGATATCAGCATTTCTAAGGTAATGTAGAATTAAGATTGCAACTGAATATGAAAACAGCCCATACTGTCTAAACACATGTTGAATTTTGAGATATCAGAGTGCTCCGCTTTGCTAAACAAAAAGAGAAAAGGCAAAAATAAGAGACTCAATAATCAGAAAAAGATCATCTGTCATGAACTCAATATTTATAATCCTTGTAGTTATGGAGTGAGAATTATAGGGGCAGAGCAAAATTAGTCTGAAATTTATACTAAACAAATTTGTCGTAACCACAAGAAAACATTTCTAACCCACCCTCGTGTCAATTGCTTCACGCATTTTCTTATAGTGTCCATACCTGTAAATGAACAACATATATGGTGACAAAACAGATTGATGTACTTCTGGATGAAACTAACAGGAATCGCACTTCTAAAAGCTTCTAGCAACACATGCTAATTGATGACTGTTTCTAAAACAAGAAAATATTATAGTGAACTTTTAGGTTTCAAACTGTTAGATTATCTTACACAAATACCATCACACATATGTCCAAGCTTCAAGAGCTTAAACTATATTGTGCGCCTCAATATATTTTAACTTTATCCTACACACCAGTTCAAACTAAAATATTTGAAAAGAAGCTTACCGGTACGATGATTGGTCAAAAGTGGATCTATCTCATATGATGTGTCCAAAGTTCCTTCAGCCTTTTCTACAACTTGGCGATATAATAGATGTGAAGATGCAGAATCTTCCTCTTTGATGGTTTCATTAAAACTGGTATTCCGCTCAACAAAATTTTTGCTTGGATGTTCCATTTTTGAACTTTCTAAATCATCTGATATCTATGGAAAATATTTGTGCATAGAGAATAAGATCAGTGGAAGGAAGATATAGTTGTTATAAAAGGTAGCATTCACACAGTCATTTTCATTTAAGCAGATTGAAGATGTTGATTCTAATAACAAATAGGCATCTGGTATTTGGTCCAAGATTTCTCATTCTGAATTGTAGCAAAGGTGAAAAGAATTCTTATCATGCACATCAATTCTGATATTTAGTTATATATTTAAACTCAACACATAGGCACCAGATACATGAAGCTTGTCAATTGAAATGTCTAAAGTTGATCCATTATCGGGTGGGTCCACAAGAGTTTAGACTCCAAAAAAATAATGTTCCAACTAAGTCTTAAATTCCACTCCAGTAAACATAATCTTAAACTATTAAAATTTTTATAGTGACCTGGACATAAAAAACTTCAAGCTATGTCAAAAGAGATTTTAGCCCATCTCCTAAATATGAAGTTCACAAAATACCCTAAATGTCAAGGGTTCAACATGCATAGTTCAGAAAAGTCCATAAATAGATCCTGCTACCACCGAGAAACCTTTCTGTTGTATAGGAAAATGCCTTTTACGGCTTTATTACAACTGTGAGAATTTACACAATAACTCTAGCTATATTTAATTTGAGTTTTAATGATCAGCCTCCTTTTTTCCAGAAATTATAAATTTAGGTAGCATCACAATCAACAGATTAACTTTCCATGTAGTTATAGTTCTTCCAGAACTTCTATAATGATTCAAAAAGACAAAAAGTTCTCTAATTTCAGGTTACTGTTGTCATGTAACTCCATTTAAATCCTAACAATAATCTCCACAGGAATTGGTCAAATAATGTGCCATATTTCTTGAAAACTACAATATTTTTGACTCTCTGCTTCATCTGATTAAAATGGCTTGGACGTCTCTAGCAAATGATTCATATACCTGACGCTGAGTTTGTTGAAAATAAGGCTTAGCTCATTCTATCTAAAGATATTTTTGGAATCATATAAATGCTTTAAGATTCTTGAAAACTACATTATTTTTGACTCTCTGCTTCATCTGATTAAAATGGCTTGGACGTCTCTAGCAAATGATTCATATACCTGACGCTGTGTTTGTTGAATATAAGGCTTAGCTCATTCTATCTATAGATATTTTTGGAATCATATAAATGCTTTAAGATAATAAGCAAGACATCCTTTACAAAATGGAGGAAAATTATGTGAAAACATAGAACCTTGATAATCTGAGCACATTTACTTCCTTCACTAAGCCCAATCATCGATTCATCAGATATCTAACAAACAAACAAATTAAAATCAGAAACATATAAAAGAATATGAATATGAGAGGAAAAATGAAAAAAATATATATATAAATGCTCAACATGAGCATGTGAATCACTTACAATCTAGACATATGGAAAATTAATTTCAATACCAACAGTCGTTGCCATTGCAGTGTTACCACTGTCACAAGCAAAAAAAATTTAGAAAATTATAGGCAATAAACACATTGAATCCAAAATGAGACAATATTTACCTTTCACTTGGGCCTTCAAAAAGACAATTAACAATAGGACTTCTTTGACTTACTTTAACTTGTTCAGCCAAGAGCATAGTTGAACATTGAATTATATTTCCAATATTAAAGATGTCTAACATAAAATCATTAGCATCTCGGTGACACAGTTTGTTGATCATTAAAAATGTCTTTCAACTTGGGATTAATCTCATCCTAAAAACTAACAACCTTCTAAGTTGTACAACACATAGTATAACAGAGATTCAGTCCAGCTACAGGAATCAGGTATCTTGGTTTCCGTGTCATGTTTCCATTCAGGTACCACTGGTAATGCTACATCATCCACAGAACCTTTGCTTTGATCTGGTGAAATAGTTACTGCATAGTCATTTACTGTAAACATGAAAACAATTTTGATAAGCCCAAGCATTTGTATGGAAATGCCCCATGTATAGGCACATGACCTTCTGCTTTGTTGCTATCTGTCAAAGTAAACAGACCACTACTATGACTCTCACCCTCAGTTTCAGCATTTGAACTCAGTTCTTGACTGATGATATTTTCCTTATTTTTCTCACATACAGGATCACTATATAGAACAGAGCCAGCACTATATACAACAGAGCCAAATACTGCTCACTATAAAGAGGATGCAAATGATTAACTAATAGAGCTAGTTCTAGAATTTTATATAGAATCAATACAGGAATACTAAAGTGCAATTCAAACATTCGTTATTTGAGTTGCCAATCAATTTAAACTTTCTGACTTATCCACTGGTACGATCCATGTTTTGAAGCAATCCTCAACTTTATTAGAAGCAGCAATTTGACAGAGATGAAGCAGGTGGTGTACCATATTATTGTCCATCTTCTGGCAAGGTTTGAACTAACTCTATAAGAAACATTAGTTTCACCGAGGAAAGGAAAAAGAGAAAAAATAACTTATAATGCCATTACCTTGAACGTAAATTTTTTTGCAGATGTTTTATTCCTTGCTTGAGAACATTTTCCTGTGATGTAAACGAACCCTTTTAGTTTTCTAAAACTAAAGATATTGAATGTACACAAATTATAACTAATGTAAATGAAAAAGGCATATAGATTCTGATTAACAGTCGAAAGGACTGCAAAAAGAATGGTAAAGTATTAATTAAAGAAAAGAAGTAAACAAAATGACACGTAGAAGAATTGACATGTAGTTTTAGTGTTTCAATATAAAGATAGGTTAGAATAGTTAACAAAAAAAGTTCTGAAAGGCGTACAAAACAACTCTCAAGCATAATTGTTTATGCCTGACTTCTTAGAGGCAACGGAGGAAAGAAGGCATTAGAAGAAGGAATAGGAGTTAAGATGACACCTGTCCCTTGCAAAAAATCCATACAGGCACCACCTGGCAATCCACTCTCCACAACCATTCCCTACAAATCTTTGCTACTAACAGTAATCAAAAAATTTTGCCTCCCACTAAGTATTTTCCAGTTTATATTCAAAATAGAAATCTAACTTCTAGATCACTCATTCTACACTTTCATCAGTTTTTTCCGCTACCATCTCATCTCTCAACATACATATAAGCCACCAAATAAAACCTTCACCCACTTTATCTTCTCCAGTTTCATTTCCTCATTTCTAACTTCATCATCGTAATTCTCTTCCTTCCACCCAACAGCAACTATCAAGCCTTTTAAGTTTTCATCTTTCATCAAGTTAAGATTATAGGACAGAAAGTATCAATTAGTTTCGAGCTCTGAATTAACATTAGACCACCAATAAAACAAAAATTCCACCAAAAAGACTACAAAAGAATGGTAAAGCATTAATTAAAGAAAGGACTACAAAAAGAATGGTAAAGCATTAATTAAAGAAAAGAAGTAAACAAAATGACACGTAGAAGAATTGACATGTAGCTTTAGTGTTTCAATATAAAGGCAGGGCCGGCCCTGGCCCAAGGCTACTAAGGCAGTGGCCTTGGGCCACAAATTTTTAGGGGCCACTAAAAAAAAACCCCAATCCACTCCCTTGGGCCTCAAATATTAAGTGGCCCTAAAGAAAAAAAATGCCCCAAAAGCCCCAAATAAAAACCCTGAAATACCTATTTCCTTACCATCATCTTCAACTCTCGAACTCTCGATCCTCTAATCTACTCGGCTTCTTCAAGACTTCAACACTCAATCCACTCCGAAAAGGTCCAGACGCTGCGCAAGGAGTGTCCCAACGCTGAGTGCGAGGCTGGAACTTTCATGGCCAATCATTTTGACAGGCACTATTGCGGTAAGTGTGGGCTTACCTATGTCTACAATAGTCAATAAGGTTGGTGATGATTGAGAAACGGAAATTCTAGTTTTCTATTTTTTTTTTTCTGTCTTAATCGCTATTTGGACGATTATTATGTTGGATCTATCATATGAATTTTGGATTAAGCAATATGTTTAAGACATTGAGTGTCTTTTAATTTAGTTTACAGTTAAAGGTGTTAATGGATAATTGCTATTACTTTGATCAGTATCATTCTAGTTTGATCGTAGTTTATTTTTGTATCCATGTCGACTCATATAGTTTATGTATATATTTTTTCTGAAAATCAAATTAAAAGAGGCCAATCATTAAGAGATGGAGAAAAAAAAATTTATTAAAAGAAGAGAGATTTGTATTGGAATTCTTTAGTCCAGAGGGTTCTGATCTTAGGTATGTTTGAATCTGGTACAATAAAGTTGAAAATCAATCTGTGGCGTGAGTTGCAAATAGAGAAAATTCAATCAGTGGCAACGATGGAGATTTGAGAATTGGGAATGATGGAAATTTGATCATATTGAATGAGAATGGTGATATGATTTGGTCTAACAATCCACAGTTGCACCAGATAATTCCACTGCTGTTTTAATGGATAATGGTGATCTTGTTCTGTTTGGAAGTCATGAGAGTGGTGATCCAAATAAGGCTTTATGGAAGAGTTTCAATCACCCAACGGATACATTTTTACCCCATATGCGAGTTTAATGAAGAGTTTCAATCACCCAATGGATATCCGAGTGTTGGAAAGTACTCATTAGGCCTTGATCCTCGTGGATCACCTCAGATTGTGATATGGGAAGGGACTAGCTGGAAATGGAGAAGTGGGAATTAGAATGGATTAATATTTGTTGGTGTTCCTGGGATGAGGGCTATATATTTGTATGGATTTAACTAATATTTGTTTGTGTTCCTAGGATGAGGGCTATTGATTAAGTCTATCTTCGATCAACCATGTCACAACAGCAATTGAATGGATTAACTACGAGTTGTGAGAGAAATCTTAGTTTACTAGTCTATCTTTTGAATTATATAAAGTCATCTTTTTAATAAAAAAATGTTAATTATTTAAATTTTGTTACATTTTTGAAAAAACGATTATGATGAAGGGCCTCATATTAATTAGTCGCCTAGGGTCTCTAAATTCTCAGGGCCGGCCCTGTTTTGACAGATCACTAGTAGACAAAGTTTTGGTTTGTGCGTGGGAGAAGATTTATAACACGAAACAAAAATATTCGGGCACCGGCAAAGCATAATAAAGAACAATCCAAAACATACAAATCCAATTTAAAGCTAAGCATCCAACTCATGCAATTCAGGGTAATACAAGAGGAAGATGAACTATATCTTCAAGTAATTACAATTGCATCAGCTTTCAAAATGATAAAAAAGGAATTATTTATAGTGTTACAAATGAAGTGGTGCTCGTTGGATGAGATAATATGTGGCTTCATCTACTCAATTGAAGCGTACATCTTAGGCATCACTTCGACACTCCTAGCCTGTGGTGTATTTAGGACCCGTTTGACACCCATTTTTTGGGATAAATTCTCATTTTTCAACAGTGAAAGCTGCTTCCCATACAACCCACTGATTCATTTGACCAATTTTTTTGCCAAATTGCAACAAAAGTGGGTCCCCTGTGACAGGCTGCAGTACGGTGGACTCAGAAATTGTTACTTTTCAATTTCAAATATTGTTATTTCCGTTTTTGCCCTTTATGTACTTTTTGTTTTCTTTCACATAATTGAATTACATGGAGGGCAAATACGAAAATTGGACTGAAAATAGAGGGCAAAATGGTCTGTGAATTTCAACGGATTATGGTCTGATAGAAAACTGACAAATGATTCAGTGGATTGTACGTTTAATCAGATTTTACTGTAGAAAAACGAACAACAGCAATTGAATGGATTAACTAGAGTTGTGAGAGAAACCTTAGTTTAGTAGTCTATCTTTTGAATTATATAAAGTCATCTTTTTAATAAAAAAATGTTAATTATTTAAATTTTGTTACAGTTTTGAAAAAACGATTATGATGAAGGGCCTCATATTAATTAGTCGCCTAGGGCCTCTAAATTCTCAGGGCCGGCCCTGTATAAAGGCAGGTTAGAATAGTTAAGAAAAAAAGTTCTGAAAGGCGTACAAAACAACTCTCAAGCATAATTGTTTATGCCTGATTTCTTAGAGGCAACAGAGGAAAGAAGGCATTAGAAGAAGGAATAGGAGTTATCGATAGTCATAACCTACAATTAAAAAATGGGAAGGCAAAAAGAAATGCCTACATCCAGAATTATAGATGCAAACAAAGAATGGGGTGAAAGTGTTCAAACCTGGGATACTTCATCACCAATTCATATATGTAAAACTTGAGAATCATTGCCAGTAAAACTTAAAAAATTCAGTCGCAGCTCATGACACGGAATCACCAATAAGAGAGATAACGATCGGGAGCAAAATGTACTGCAAAAAAAGAAAATAAATGAATATTTTAGACAAAGAGCTTTCAAAAGATAAAGAAAATGAAAGTTTTTACTTTTTTATGGAGGTAGTGGAGCAGGAGGGGGATGTCCATCTACAGATATGAATGCATTGACATGAATTTTCAAATATTAGTTTTTTTTTTTACCATTAGATAACTATAAATCAAGAAGGTACTTCTACAAGGACAAGGGAAAACATAGAGGAGATTATACCCGTTTTCTGATTCTTCCGAAGCCGAGGTGATTGCGTCTTCAGGAAAATTCTAGTAACATTGAAAATAGATATAGCTACCAGTTCTCCTAAAATTGCTCCAGTTTTTCTCCAGAAACCTAACCCCTTAATTTCAAAAATAAACCTCCATTGCCATATTATTGAAGTCGATCAACATGAAATTTTAACTCTTGCAAAATATAGCATTAACCTGAATAATCAAGCTTACATTCATAAAGTGGCTCTTTTAAATAGTTAGGAAACATTTGTCCAATTTAATAGGACTATCTAATAATAGGGCACAAATTAGTGTCAAAGATGACTGCAGGAGGATAACTATGCTAGGAACTAGTACTATGATGACACCTGTCCCTTGCAAAAAATCCATACATGCACCACCTGGCAATCCACTCTCCACAACCATTCCCTACAAATCTTTGCTACTAACAGTAATCAAAAAATTTTGCCTCCCACTAAGTATTTTCCAGTTTATATTCAAAATAGAAATCTAACCTCTAGATCACTCATTCTACACTTTCATCAGTTTTTTCCGTTACCATCTCATCTCTCAACATACATATAAGCCACCAAATAAAACCTTCACCCACTTTATCTTCTCCAGTTTCATTTCCTCATTTCTAACTTCATCATCGTAATTCTCTTTCTTCCACTCAACAGCAACTATCAAGCCTTTTAAGTTTTCATCTTTCATCAAGTTAAGATTATAGACAGAAAGTATCAATTAGTTTCGACCTCTGAATTAACATTAGACCACCAATAAAACAACAATTCCACCAAAAAGATATAACAGGGCAAAAGGCAGGGTTCACCTACTTGTTGAAGAAATTCATCACGTATTCCATCTCTTTCCCTGCCATTCGAAAAATTTTCTCAGAGAAGCCTTGTTGAAAAGGCTTTGGGCGGCTTCAGCTGTAACTATTTCCTCAAAGGCTTGAGAACATAGTTCCATATCAAGCTCATGAAGATCTATATGAGCATTAGGATCAATGCTGATATGGCTACGAAATAGTTGCGCAAAATCAAATAGTCAATTGTCCATCTTCACCTCCTTGCACTTAGGGTCCTTTGATTTTTCAGTTTTCTCTTTTGGAATTATCTTTTCAGTCTTGTCAATCTTAGCATCTACAGCTTCCAAAGCATAGTCGCCTGTTGAAGATTGTGAAACACTTTCATCTGCTTTAGTTTCTTCACTCTCCATAGGCATCTGTTCTTCCTTTTCCAACACAGGAGGCTTTGGTTTGCGCTCAGTCAACAATACGCAACCTGATCATCTCAATTCCAATTGAGTCTCCTTGATCTGTATTACATCACCTAATCTTATAAATTCTTAGCATGCTAGTAATTTATTACTGTGTTGGACGAAGTTTAGAACAAATAATAGATGGTAGCCAAGGGATTTTTTTTACAACTT